GTTTCCGTGAGCCCTGTACCACAAAACCCCCAATCCTTGACCTCAAACACCCTGTATACCGTCAGAAACCGCAAGTCCCAGGCCCAAACCGCTCCTTAACCTCTACTGTAAAGCCCGAAACGCTAAATCCCTTACTTACGACCAGTCCCACAAGCATAAAGCTTCTGAACAATCGAAACCCGAAGAAGACCCCTCCCAGGCTCGAAGCTCTTCTGAGGAGCCAGTAGAAACCGAGCCCGGGCTCAGCGGCGGCTTTAGCTTCGCCCCGAAACTCCACTCGAAGCCCGGGCCCGGGTTCGGGAAGCAAAAGGAAGTGCTTGAGAGGCTAAGAGGCCTATTGCGTGGCTGGGGGCCCTAACAGCAGTCTTAGGATCTTCTTGTTGGTGCCCGGTGAGGTTCCTTTTGTGTGTTTTTGTTGGGAGGACTTGTGAGGGGTGTGAGGGGTGTTCGGGGGCTGAGTCTCTCAGAGTGTATAGCGTCCGACTCGTTGATTCGAGAGTTCAGCGTTTGTTACATGATTCAAGAACAAAAGTCGCAATGACAATAGCTGTAACATTGACAATACCGTGACAATACCAGTAGAACTACCAATAAGACTAGCACTGACCATAAATGCGATGACAACGATAGAGTCAGGCAGTAAAGAATCGTAATTACGGTCACAATACTAGCACTAGTTACAACAATGATCAGAGCAATGTTCATCTTATCGTCACCATCGGCATCATCATCATCATCATCATCATCACCATAGTCATAATCATGATCATCGTCATTGGCTTTATTATAGCGAAAACTATTACAATACAACCACCGTATCAGAATCATAACAGTCATACAAAAGCCGATCACCAGAGCCATGATGAGAGCTGGAATGAGCAGGGTGCAGGTATGGACACTGATATCGATAACTATAGCTGTGCAGATGCTGATGTTGGTACCGGTGGTGTTGAGATATTCGACGAGCAGCCACCATGTTGGTTCTAGTGTTGACATGCTTCGTGGGGGAAGATACAGCCACTGCTTGCTGTCATGCTTTTGATCTTCTGCTCTTGGTAGATTTCTTGGTACGTTTCCTGCATCTTGTCTTCTTCGCCCTTCAGCCAACTAGCCTTGTCACTGCTCTTCGTACGAAGGGCCCCAAGCCCGTGCACGCTGCAATGGGGCAGAAGCAGCTGTGGCTGCTCAAGACTGATCTGCAACCAGAGCCAGGGGCTGATAAGCGGAGCTGGCGAAGTGGGGGCTCTTCTGGAGTACGGTTCACTTCAGGCTGCCTCTTCCAAATGAGCGCACGTAAAAAGTGATCCTAGATGGGGCCCCTTCAGAGATCGCCAGTATAGCTCCCTGGCTGGAAAGCCCCTCAGATCAGAGCCGGCCGAAAGCACGATGCATTGCGTGAGCGTGAAAACGAGAGTTTTGACTACTACAAGCATCAGCGCTTGCAGTATCTTGGCCGATAGGACAAGGGCATGGACGGTCCTGTCAGCTAAACAACATCTGGAAAATAGATTTCGGAAATGAACATCACCAGTGCCACCATCATGATCAGCATAGCTACCATCATCTATCACGTGCCATCATGATGAACCATAATCCTCCTAATCATCGTTATCGCCCGGCTGTCATCACCATCCTCCTCCTCCTCGTCGTCATCATCATCATCATCATCATCACTAGCCTTATCACTATCGTCATTGGCATCGTCACCACCGCCATCATCATCGTCAGCATAAGTATCATCATCATCACCAGCAGCATCAGCATCATCATGATCATCATCACCCTCACTTTATCTCTGTCGCAGTCGGGGGCCTGACTGCTTGTCGCACTGGGGGCATGGTCATTGCCACAATGCCAAAGATAAGCATCATTGGGTCTCGCGTTTAGATTAATCCGTTGCGCCTGGGCAGACTGTTCGCCGCAACACTTGGCGGTTCAGTGTACAAGGCTGAAAGACGCCAAATATCACAGCCATGGGTTACCTTAGGAGGGGTCGAAGAACGCCCCGGCTTCTGGAACTTATTTAGGGCTTCGGGGGCCAAAAAAGCTCAGACACAAACACGAACCTGAATATCCCTGATGTTTTAGACCTGTTCGTGAATCGAAGCGCAGTATGGTATACTTATACGAGAGCAACAAGCGGGTATTAGGAATATTGGTCAGACATCTAGATGAACATACCATCAGTACTAGGGACAATCGGGCTTGATGATGGAGGGACCTAGGATTGATTAAGAGAAATTCAGGAACCATGTTCACGAAAGTGTAGCTGATTTGGGTTGGACGGTTTAGGCCCTATCGGTGTGTATGGGGGTTTAGAGTTTGTTGTGCTAAGCAATGGGTCCAGTGGACAGACAGCGATGAGTTCACAATCTCAGCATCACAGGTTCTTGTTCTGAATGCACGTTCAGCGTTGTTGCCTTTGTTGTTAGTCTTGCTTTCAGTACTATGGACTTGTTGGTATCATGTGCATTTCCGTTTCTGCGGCCATCCATTACTCTCTCAGCAACAACGAGACCACAGCTACTACTTACTGCTGCTACTGCTACTGCTGCTGCTACCACTGCAACTGCAACTGCATCTCCACCTCCTCCTATTGCTACTACTACTACTACTACTACTACTACTACTACTACTACTACTACTACTACTACTACTACTACTACTGCTACTGCTACTGCTACTGCTGCTGCTGCTGCTACTGCTACTGCTACTGCTACTGCTACTGCTACTGCTACTGCTACTGCTACTACTCTGAGAATGTTAACATAATACCGTCATCATCAGAACAACAGCAGCAAAACATAGCATTAATAATCAAGAACGATTGCATAATGACAGTATTCATATTGATAACTGCTACTGCACCTCCACAACTACTGCTTATGGTTTGGGGGAGCTTTTTCGCGTTCGCCTCCGGCAGCCTTGGCCCAGAGCGCGTGGAGGGGGCCGGAGAAACCCGTCGGCCTTCCACGCACAGGCCATGGTCTTGATGCACAGCAATGATTCGCTTGAAACAAGCCATATCAATCTGTCGTTGCGGGTATTTGTTGGTTGAGATAGTGGCTGCCTGCAGTTGTGCCTGCATGTCGTTTGCGACTTGTGAGTCGTTTATCGTGAACAGTATCCGTTCTCCCTGGTATCAGGGTGTTCTTCGTGTTATTTGCCGCACTTCTCTGTGTGCTAACTTTTCCCGTGCACGGCTGAAGAATCTTCCTTTGTCGGATGTAGGCATTGAGCCCACAAACCTCGTCATAAATCAGCTCGCCGGGTGCACCACAGGATCTTGGGGCCTGGGACTTACGCACGGACTGAGCGGTCAGACACGACTAGATATGTGGCGGAGGTTTCGGTTATTTGCTTTATACGCCCACTTTGAAAAACATGTGCGATGGTGCCCCGCTGAAGGGTGCGATTCTTGAACTGGCTTTTGCAGCCCTTGTATTGGCTTGGGAACTCCGAGCTGAAAATTCGGTTTTCAATTCGGCAGCGTAGACAAAGACGTAACTTCGCCCAGACCTCGAATGGAGGTGTCGTTCATTCAACATGGTAATCTCATTGCACGACCTTTCCTTCGATCGAGACCCCAAAAGCTAAACCTAAACTCCAAAGCCGTAAACTATACAGATAAGCCCCAAACCCCCAAAACCGTAAACCCGAAACCCTAAACCCTAAACTATACAGATAAGCCCCAAACCCCCAAAACCGTAAACCCGAAACCCTAAACCCTAAACTATACAGATAAGCCCCAAAACCCCCAAAACCCTAAACCCGAAACCCTAAACCCTAAACTCTACAGACAAGCCCCAAACCCCCAAAACCCTAAACCCTAAACTATACAGATAAGCCCCAAAACCCCAAAACCCTAAACCCGAAACCCTAAACCCTAAACTCTACAGACAAGCCCCAAACCCCCAAAACCCTAAACCCTAAACTATACAGATAAGCCCCAAAACCCCAAAACCCTAAACCCGAAACCCTAAACCCTAAACTCTACAGACAAGCCCCAAACCCCCAAAACCCTAAACCCTAAACTATACAGATAAGCCCCAAAACCCCAAAACCCTAAACCCGAAACCCTAAACCCTAAACTCTACAGACAAGCCCCAAACCCCCAAAACCCTAAACCCTAAACTATACAGATAAGCCCCAAAACCCCAAAACCCTAAACCGAAACCCTAAACCCTAAACTCTACAGACAAGCCCCAAACCCCCAAAACCCTAAACCCTATACAATAAGCCCCAAAACCCCAAAACCCTAAACTAAACCCTAAACTCTACAGACAAGCCCCAAACCCCCAAAACCCTAAACCCTAAACTATACAGATAAGCCCCAAAACCCCAAAACCCTAAACCCGAAACCCTAAACCCTAAACTCTACAGACAAGCCCCAAACCCCCAAAACCCTAAACCCTAAACTATACAGATAAGCCCCAAAACCCCAAAACCCTAAACCCGAAACCCTAAACCCTAAACTCTACAGACAAGCCCCAAACCCCCAAAACCCTAAACCCTAAACTATAGGCGTTTGGCCCAGGTCAGTTTCCCTTAGTGGTCACCTGGGTACAAACCCTAGCGTGGCATTAGCTGCCCGCGGCGACGCCAGTGGACCGCAAGTGCGCACTGGTGTCTGCTTTTTCCAACTGCCACTGTACGCCTCGCGAGGTGGCTTGTTGTTTGGCCCTACCTTTGGTAGCTGGCTTTGGGGCGGAGTTCCCCCAATTTTGAGATCCGGTGGTGCATGGGTTGCTCCCGGACTTTCTCCTATATCCTCTTCTGCCTTCTGAACCGGCTCCTGGGTGATTGCCACGGCGCGGCCCCGCAAGGGAGAGCCGGCTCTCCACAGGCGCCAGCGCCGCTTCCGTACTGGTGCGCGAACTTTGCTGAGGGCGGCAGTGAGTGGCCTCTTTCGGCCCTCCCAAGAGGATCTTCGCCGAGCTGCAAGAACATTGGCAGGCCACCACTCCAAATCGGGTCTACCACTGCAGGCTACAGCGATAATGTCGTGGCAATGCACGGCATGCAAGCAATGGGCAAAGGCCACGGCGGCCTTTTGCCCACAATGTGGTACGGCGAGGTACAACTACGCTGGCACAGGTTCAGGGGCCCCATGGTCGGCCGAGCCGGACTATGGGGAGGACGATGCCAGTTGGTGGACGCGGCGAAGACCGAAGTCCCCCAGATCAAGGCCCTCGCAGTCACCGCGACCACGAGGCAAAGGCGGTCAGCCCCCGGGCAAGCAAAAGGGCAAGCCCAAGGGTGGGCGCGGCCCCAAGGAGAAGCCCCCGAGGAGCGAGCAACCGAAGCCACCCAAGCTGGAGGCTTTGCCTGTGGCCCCGGAAGCCACGCCACCACGACCTACGGGTGGTGCTGCGCCTAGCTCGAGTTCCAGCGGCCAAGATCCTCTTCTACGAGCCCTACTGGCGCATGTCGCTTCGCAGGACAATGTGCCAGAGGAGCTGGCCAGCCTGGTCCGGCAGCATTCAGAGGACTCACATCGTGTGCAGAGCAGACAGATGCACAAGATGGTTGCCAGGCAGCAGGAGGCCAAACGGTCTCTTGTCAAGGTGCGCCTCGAGAGGCAGGCGTACGAGACTGCGTGGGGCCAGTACTTGGGGCAGATTGCCCAATTGCTGGAGACGCAGCTGGCAGAGAGAACCAAGGCGCTGGCGAGCTACGACGCCTCGGAGGAGACGTGGAAGACGCAGCTCGACGAGGCCTCGGTGGAGCTGGCAAAACAAGCTTCGCAGACTGCGGACAAGGCTCTGGCTATGGAAGTACAGGAGATTTCCGAAGACGAGATGGATGCCAGGGAACAGCAGGTGGACGAAGCGATTGCGGAGGAGGCAAAGGCGGCGCAGGCCCGCCAACAGCGGGAACAAGCCGATCTCAAGGCGGCCGAGCTCCTCACCGCGATGCAGCAGATGCGGCAAAGCCTCCCCGAAAAGGCGCGGGAAGGCTCGCGCACACCACGGCGCTCTGGCTCGAAGGATCGCGAAACCGAGTCTGGCAAGGTGGAGACTGCTGGCGAACCAAAGGCTGTGCCCCCTGGTGCGGCCCGTACATGAGCCCCTTTGGTCAGTACGGGCCGGAAGGTTTCCCGGGCTGCGGCCTGGAAGGGGTGACTGTGGAAAGTCACTCGATTTGTTTTGAGGATGACTATGTGGATGTTTGGCGAGCCGGCTTCCTGGCCTTGCAGCTGCACCACGAGTTGATCTTCGAAGACCTCGGCCACCTTCTCACTTGGGATGTTGATCCGAGGCTACAGACGGCCCCCTGCTGGGGAGCCGAAGCAGTGAGCGACTCTGTACAGTGGGATGTTTTCCTCCCGGTAGGCCCTGATTCTGACGGCTGTGGGCGACAGTTGGACTGCAGTGCCACCCGGAGGATTGAGTCTTCGGGGATGGGGATCGACGTGCGCATGGGTTCGAAGCCGTCGCTTTCCCCACCTATCGAAGATTCGTCTTTTGGAGATGGTCCTGGGGTCCCTGTCGACAGGGCAGCCGCAGGATCTTTAGGGCGATGCAAGAGTAGGCTGACAGCTGCCACCGATGCAATTTCGTCCCCTCTGTCGCAGCTTGTGCCGCCCGAAGCGAGCACAGCCAGGTGTCCAGGTCCGAGCATCCTTCACACCACTCCCCACCCTCTCCCACTGCGAGTGTGTTTCTCCACTGGCTCATGCGCCCAGTCGAATGCCTGGAAGCGAGACCTCGGGCGGATCTGTCGTTGTCCAACACCTCCCTCCGACACGGACTGCGCTGTTGGCCTCCGCCACGCGCTGTTCTCACCGGAGGTTTCTTTCCGAGGAGCAACAAGGCCCTTCGACTCAGACGACCTCTCCCTGCTTCCCGCGACAACTCAAGGGAGTGATAGTGTTAATTGTGGGTGGCTGCCGGCACACAGCTTTCACCTCCCTAAGCCTTCAGATTGCTGCAGCAGTGCCCCTGCACCCTGCAGAGCAAGATAGGTGGGAAATCCGAGCCAGACCATTGCCTGAGGCCCCTGCCGAGAGTGTGCCGACCACAGACGGACCACCCGATGCAAGCATTGGTCCCGCGCAGTATGTGCTCTTCGATACCGAGGGGCATTTAAGGGTTCGTCCCCGCGGCGCAATGTGGTCCCTAGATCACCTGGTTTCTGACATCCTTGGGATCTTGCCGAGAACAAAATCCATTAGGATGCTGACCCGCAAACTGCATGGGCTGCCCAGCCTTCAGGTTGCTGCAACACAAAGAGATGCGGATGTGGGAGCAGAGGCCATGCCACTTGACCTCAGGGAGCTAACAGGCCATGTCTGTACCCTCCACGTAAGGCCAGGTATGTTGCAGGCAGAGGTACAGCAGCTCTACCGGGAAACCTGTCCCGCCGCCTTCCTCCCTGCACTACCTTTCAGAGTCGTTAAGCCTGACGGCACTGCCTTTGAGGCTGTACCGGGCCAGCTCAGCGAGCTTGACCATTTCCGGGCTACAGTCAATGGTGAATTTGTGCCAGACCGAGCGCTGGCTGCACAGGCCCAGGCCAGGCAGGCGATTCTTGACACATCCACAACTACCACTGAGATGCACGTGCCCGGCCTGCTCGGACGCGAAGGTAGCCTGCAGACTAGGCTCGCCGCCTTCCCGCACTCTCTCAGCCAAGTGCGGCTCATACCCGAGAGCCTTTGCGCACACCTAGGGGCGAGACTGCCCGTCGGGCATCTTCGCCTCTTCCCACATGCCTGCACTGACTGCAGAGCGCAAACTGCGCCTTTCCACATGCTTGTGCGTGGCTTCCCGCCAGTGAAACTTGAGGGTGCCCCCGGTTTCTCCCTTGTTGAGTACTGTGGACTCGCTGCCAGCCAACTAGATGAGGAGGTCAGAACTGTGCAGGTTATCACCACGAGTCTGCCCGGGCTGCTTGAACCTCAAATAGTTGTCACGGCGCAAGCTGATGATGTCAGTGGGTTTCTTCTCCCCGTTGATCTGCGATGCCTCCCAGCTGGAGAGGTGATCCCTGTTATGCTACGGCCAGGCATGACCCACGACGAGCTCCTCGAAGCTGTCTTTCTTGAGGTTCCTGAGGCGCGCCAGGTTTTGCAGGAGCTCGCCGCTCCAGAGGCCATCCACTTCCAAGATGCCCAGGGCCAGATCTACGAACATCTCCCTGAGTGTCTCGCCTCCCTGCAGTGGCTGGTGTTGAGGCTGACGGCCAATCCCTTTGGGTTCCAGGCCCGGCCAGCTGACCCAATAGCTCCGCCGCTAACCCCGACATCCACGACCACTACGCAAGCACTCGCGCGAAACAGAGCTGGGCAGACAGTAAGCTTCATCCTTGTTGCTCCGGCCAGGACCATCAGGCTTCCTCCTGTGCGGCTCCAAGAAGCAGATCCCACTGGGGCAGTCATTGAGCTTGTACAAGCTGCTGCAAGCATGGGATTGCTCGGGCAACCTTTCCAGCTTCAACTGCCCCCTGCTTTGCCATGGACAACCAGCCATCAGCACTTTGTGATTCCCTTGCTCCTGACACACCCGGGTCAGGCTCCGACGGTCTTGTACGACCCGGGGCTGGACGGCACGCAAATTCACAGCATTACAGTCGGAGAAGGAGCACTTGGCGAAGAGCTGTTGACTGGACCCTTGAGACGCCAAGGTGCCTCAATTTATGTCAATGGAATCCATGTCAATGGGATGCGTCGAGCCTTGCAGACTGGGGATCTTGTGCAACAGCTGGGGCCCCAGAGATATATTGGCACTGTGCGTAATGTTGGCCCACTTCTGGCCCACATTAGCCGTCTTCGTTGCCTGTCCTTCCCCCTCGCCCTTCCGCCATTTGGCCTCTTCGAGGGCCCAAATGGGCCATGTGTCGCCCCACTGCAAGGGGTTGCAAGCATGCAAGAGCTCGTCATCAATGCCTTCGAGCGGCGGCTGGACAGGCTCGGGCGGCCGGGCGCTGGCAAAAAAAGCGTTTGGGTGCTGCAGCCTGCCCGTGCACCGCATATCCTGTGGCTCGACATTGCCACCACGCCAACCGTGCAACAGGCAACACCGTTGCTCCAGGCCACGGGCTTGTTTCCAGATGACACCACAGTCGTCGAAGCAGACTACGAGGCCAACACGCTTGTCATGGACTCGTTTCTTGCCCTGCCAACTGCGGCACCCTATGTTACTTGCACTCTGGCGGATCCCTTCGCGCCGACACACTTGCTCCTTCTGCACCCGACACCAGGAGCCGAGCCCCCTTTCAGCTCGCTGCCACTTACACCGCTCATGCGTTTTCTCCCTGTCGGGGCGGCATCCACTGGCATGCACTTGCTGACCGTTCGTGGACCGGTGATCAGCCCCAGTCTTGCTGGCGAAAGTACCGCTCCCGCAGCGGTTCCTGCCGTGCATGACGAGCCGCCTGCCGCCGAAGCTGAAGAGGAAGCGCAAAGCCTGAGTCTCCTGCAGCACCAAGTTGTCATCCGGCGCGGAGTGCCCCCCCCCAACTGGCGCTGCCGCTCTTACTGCACCTGCTTCGTCCCCACTTTGCTCCGCGACCGACTTCGTCCCCGGCTGCAACTCCCTGGATCCCCAGGGCCCGGGCGTCAGTCAATCAGGTGCTACGGCTCATAATCAGCCTTGTGCGCACCGGGGACTCGCTGTTGTGACCCCCTTTGGTCGGAGGCTTCTCAGGGCTGCGGGCGGTACGAAGCGCACACATGGCGCGATCAGCCTCGACGATGCTCTCTCTGCTCACCCTCCACGTGAGGACAAGCATAGCGGCCCCACTCCCAAGGGTGCGAGCCCATCCATGCACTGCTTGGACAGCCTACGCGCCCTTCTGCCTGCCTTGGACGACTGGGCCGCCTGCTGGACCACGGCTCCACCCTTCCGGGTCTGTGGTGCCGCAAAGGCTGCTCTATCTGGTCGACATGCTGCTGGGGCCTGGCCCATCTCCGAGATCCAGCTCTTCACAGACGGATCCTTCATGAAACCTGGACACTTCGGATGGGCTGTCACTGTCTTTGAGAAGTGCCATGATGGGTATGGAGAGTGGTTGAATTTTCTAGGTTACTTCAGTGGTTCTCTTCAGCCCTGGGCTGCTAAGGGACTCTGTGGGACCGATGATAACATAGATGCCGAAGCGGTTGCTTTCTGTGTTGCTACACTGTGGGCCTCCTCCTGCCCGCCAGACATGCCCCTCAGCATCTGGTCTGATTGTCAGTCGTCCTGCAGGTTGTCACTGGCCTAGCCGATTGTCAGCGACAGGGCAACACTGCGCAATTGCTCTGCCGCACGAGGCACCTCTTCCAGGCCCTCCAGAGGCGCCCCCGCCCTGTATGTGCTGCCTGGGTACCGAGCCATGTGGGCCTCCCGCCCAATGAGCTCACGGATATCATAGCCAAGTTTGCATGCCAAGAAACGGCCAAGCCGCTCCCCGCGAAGGTCTTCAGGTTGCTGTTGGATCCGACCCTAGGATGGCTGTGGCATTTCTTATGGCCGGCGCCCTCCTTGCCCCCGCTTGCCGCGCTCGTTGAGGGCAGCTATGAGCCACCCGACGCAGTGCCGCTGTCATGTGTGCCGAGCGCCCTCCCGGTACACGGTCGAAAAGAAGGGGGCTCCAAGCTGCTGCATCTGTGTTCTTACAACGTGCAGTCGATGCGCGGTAAAAAGGACATCCTGCGGGAACTGTTTGCGGCAAAGCAACAGCACATCATCTTCTTCCAAGAGACGCGTGCTACCGATGGTTGCTGCAATGCGCAAGACTACTACGAGGTGCGCGGGCCAGCGCACAAGGGTAATTTAGGGTGCGCTATCTGGGTTGCGAGGTCCTCTCCCTTGGGCGCAATAGACAAGCGGCATGTCAAGGTGCTCCATGCGGAGCCCCGTCTCCTTATTGCAAGGCTCAACGCACCCCGGCTAAGCTGTTACCTGGTAAGCGCCCATGCGCCGCACTCCGGATGCACCTCCGAGGAAATCCGGACGTGGTGGGAGGCCACTGGGCTCAAAGTTGGCGCTCGTTGCACTGGCCGTATCCCTGTCTTCTATGGCTGTGATGCCAACGCGCAGCTGGGACAGGTCACTGGGCCAGGCATAGGGGCGCATGCTGCCGATGTGGAGACTTTCGGGGGAGAGATGCTCCGCTACCACTGCGCGACACATGCTCTCTGTGCACCCTCCACCTTCGCTGGAGCACGAGGGCTCATGGAGCATGCGGACCCATCTGCCTACACCTGGGTGTCGCCGTCCGGGGGCAAGTACCGCTTGGACTACCTTCTGCTTCCCCAGAGCCTACTACCGGCTGTGAGATCATGCCAGGTCTTCCATGGCTTCGACGACGGCGGGCCCGATGATCATTTCCCAGTCTCCGTGACTCTAGTGATTGCCGGATTACCAGAGGGTGCCCCCACTTTCGAGTACTCACGTATTCGGCTGCGCGAGGTTCGCGAGGCACAAGTTCCGGTCCATGATGCTTGCCAGGCACTTGCTTCCCATCCATGGTCTGGAAATGTGCACGAACATGTCGCCTGTCTTGACCGGGCCATCTGGACCTGTTGTAAAGAGGCCTCGGCTGCCCCCAGGCCACGCCGACCCTATGTGCATGAGGACAGCTGGGCCCTAATCCGCCAGCGGAAGAGCCTGTTGGGCCAGATCCACGACGAGAGCCACCGAGCCGCCAGAGCTCGTCTCCTCCTCGGCTTCCGAACCCTCTGTGTGCAAACAGGACACAGGAGCCGCAATCGCCGCACCTTGCTGCGTATCGCCTCCACTCTGTCTGCCTCGGTCGAGGCCAAGGCCCAGCTCATCAGCCACAGGAAGGCCCTCCGCAAGGAACTCGTCAGAAGCCTTGCACAGGCTAAGGCAGCTTACATTGAAGAGGTGGCACAGCGTTTTGTTCATGCTTCCCGGAAGGCCGATGTCCGAGCACTGTTTGAGGCCCTCCGCTTTTTCCGGCCTGCGGGCAAAGGAGTGTTTAAGGGTTTCGGGCCACTTGCTGTCCTGCATGATGCAGAAGGGGCGCCGGCTGCTACCCACAGCCAACAGCAGGAACTGCACCGCCGACACTTCGAAGGCCAAGAGGCAGGGCACGTCGTCGACAAGGACAGCCTTTGCGCACCTGTCGCGGAGATTCCCTCGGGCGCCAGGTTCCGACTCCAAGACCTCCCAACGTTGCATCAGGTTGAGGTCTGCATCCGCCAGTCCAGAGACGGCAAAGCTCCCGGCCCGTCGGGGATTCCGATCTGTGTTTGGAAAGCCTGCCCGGATGTGTCGGCAGCAGCCTTGCTGCCCATCTTCCTCAAATCACACGTGAGGTTGACCGAGCCCATCCAATATCGCGGTGCCAAACTCTCTGCCCTATTCAAAAAGGCAGGACTCGCGATCCGGGCGGAAAGTTTTAGGAGCATCGCTTTGATGGATCCCTCTGCGAAAATCCATCACAAGTTGATGCGACCTGGACTTCTTGAGAATATCGAGATGCTCCGGGCGCCGCTCCAGCAAGGATGTTTGCCCAACAGCCTGCCCACGGCACTTACGCATTTCCTTACCACCAAGATGCGGACCGCCAGCTTGAAGGGACTGTCATCGGCGGTTGTTTTTCTCGACCTCACAGCCGCTTATTATCGTCTTATCAGGGAGGCGATCGTCGATACTGCTGTCAGCGACGACAAGCTGTGTTCGGTTTTGCAACGGCTCCAGATTGCCCCGGAACAAGTCTGTGAGGTCGAGGCTTTTGTGCGTCAGGGTGGCCTTCTGCCAACGGCATCCCCACACTTCAAACGAGCCCTCGCCATGATGTACCGGCACACCTTCTTTGTAATGGACGGGCTGCAGGATATCACGGCTACCACTGTTGGCTCGAGGCCAGGCGATGCCATCTCGGATACCATGTTTGCCCTTGCCGCTACTAGCCTTCTAGCCGAGGTTGGGGACCAGCTCAGTGGATGTGGGCTCCCCGGCTACAATGTCCCCACATGGGCCGACGATCTGGCCCTGCCGATCACAGCACCTGCACCACGGCTCACAGAGGCAATCGAGCTCACAGGCCGAGTGCTACACCAGGCCTGCCTGAAGCGTGCTATGCAGCCCAACTACGGGCAGGGCAAAACGGAGGCGCTGGTCTCCTTCACAGGCCCCGGCGCCAGGCTAGCCGCCAAGGACCTGTTCAGAACAGGCGCGGGCTGTGTAGAGTTGCAGGTCGTCCCTAAAGTGCCGTTGCGGTGTGTATTTCAGTACAAGCATCTCGGCACGACGCTTGCTGCCAAGGCGCGCCCTGCTAAAGACATCCGTTGCAAGCTGGGAGCCGCAGGTGGCGCAGCCCACCCCCTCGCCAAGAAGGTCCTTCGGCGTAAAGATGTACAGCAAGGCACACGGTCACAGCTGCTAGACACCCTCGCGTTCAGCCGTGCCGCCTATGGTGTCGCAATTTGGGGAGACTTGGATGCCTCGACCCGCCTGCTCTGGCAGGGAGGAATCGCTGCCCTCTACCGCGCTGCAACGCGGCCAACTATCACCGAGCATGGGCCCACCTTCCCAGCTCTTGCAGCTCTCTGCAAACAAGTCGGTCGGCCCCTGCCTCTGCACACCTGGAATTTCCTCCTTCTGGAGCACCTGCGTGCGCTCGGTGCCTTACACCAGACCCAGGTTGTAGATGCCCTACGTGAGGAGGCAGAGCTCACGGAGCACTCCTGGTGGTCTGCTGCCGACAAGGCTGTGCAATGGTTTGATGAGTTGTGCTCCGGCACACCGAGATATCAAGCCTATGCTACGGCAGAGGCCTTCCTTAACGAGTCCGTGTGCAGCCCGCACAAGGTTGGAGGCCAGATTCGCCGTGCCAAACGCAGGGCTGTCGGCTTGTGCGACTCCACTGCTGACACCATTGTAGCCGAAGATTTGCGGCTCAAGCCCTTTCAATGCGAAGATTGTGAGGAGCGTTTCGCCACGTTACAGCAGGTAAGGGCACACAGCTGGAGCAAGCACGGCCACCAAACTGTTCTTGCCCAGCTGACACCGGAGCACACGTGCCCGGCCTGCCTACACCGATTCTGGCACAGGTCGCGTCTTCTGAGGCACGTCCACCACGACAAGCCCTCTTGTGGACATTTTGTCCTTGCAGCACAGCTCGCACAGTGCGCTCCTGATGCCCCTGCTCCCGCCACATCTCCTCTGCCAGCCACGCTTTCCCTACCTGCTGCTAGGGTGCCCGGACCACTGCCAAGGCCTGTCCCCGATCAGGTTTCCGGTGAGCAGCTTGCTAAGTTTTACACGCTGGGTTTGCTTGGTACAGAGCAATGTGATGTGGAGTTTTCTACCGCCGACGTGCCCTCTCTGAGTGGCAGCTGGCGAGTGCTAGCACTCGTGATGCTGTTCTTGCAGCGCTCACAGAAGTGCAAGCCGGTGTTTTCGAGGCCCTTCTCCGAGAAGCGGGACTCGGTTAAGGCGTCTTGCGGATTGCATTTGAGTGTATAGTTAATTAACTGAGCTGCCAACACGGCAGTCCGACGTCGTCAGACATGAACGCAGTCCGATCCGATCCCTAAACTATACAGATAAGCCCCAAAACCCCAAAACCCTTGAAGCCTTGTCTGTCAGGCCTCCCAGGACCTCCGAGCCACTGTGCCTCGGCTGTTGGATTTGGGATTTAAGACAAGTGCAGGGTTTAGGGTTTAGGGTTTTGGGATTTGGGTTTAGGGTTTAGGGGGTTTGGGGGTTTGGGGTTTAGGGTGCCTTTTACTAGAGCCCTTATGGTCCTTAGTAGTGGGTCTTTTCGGGTGTGTTAGAGGGTAGCTGGGGGTTTTAGGTAGGGTTTAGGAAGGTTTTCAGGGGTCAGCTCAAAAGCCAGGGTTCAGGTCTTGGGTTTAGGGTTTAATGGTTCTGGGGTCAAGGCAGAGGGGCCCTGAGGACTCGAGTGTAAGGGCGTCTGGTGCTGGGGTTCAACGCTGAAGGAGGGTTTGAGATCAGGCGCATTTTGGACTTGATGTATTTCGGTGTCGAATCCCCTAAATGGAAAGACACGCCTTTAGCGTCGTTTGGAGCCTTAATGCAATTGCGTCAGCCGGCGACACAATGCTACAGCGCAACGCCGGCTTCAAAGGGCCGTGATCTGGCCTCCAACAGCTCTTGTTCAATGCCGCTGTTACAACACTTGCTACACCCGCACAGAGAAGATGATTCCCCCATGAGCTCCCAAACTGGGACTTAAGCCGTAAATCCGATTGTGAGAACGGACCCGCTCACCCCGAATGTTGAAAAGAAGTTCTAATTTTGTGGCAAGGTATGGTGTCTTTGGACACCAATGAGCTGGTCCGGTGCCTGGCTTGCCGCTGCATTCTTACTGTCATGACATTTCACCGTAAGAGCATTGGTGATCACACCACCTTTCCAGATACTATTGCTATTACGACGATTACGGCGCCGACTAAAATTATTCCTACTACTACTACTACTACTACTACTACTACTACTACTACTACTACTACTACTACTAGTCCTACTACCCCTACACTCCTACTACTCCTACTACTCGTACTCCTACTACTGCTACGACGACGACTACTACAACTACAACAACTACTACTACTACTAGTACTACTACTACTACTACTACTACTACTACTACTACTACTACTACTACTACTACTACTACTACTACTACTACTACTACTACTACGAGCGAAGAATAAGAATAATAATCAGAGTAATAGTAATACTAATTATACGAATAACAATCAACATTGCTATTATTGTTTGTTGTCTTCTCGTTGTTGCCTGCGCGACTGCTGCATTCTTTGTTGTCAACCGCAGCGCAGAAGTCTGCAGAATTTCGCGCCATACTCTGGACCCTTGACCCCCAACCTTAAAACCCAAGCCCTGAATCCCAAGCCCTAAATCCTAAACGCGAAACCCTCAAACCCAAATCCTAGACTCCAAAGCGCCTCGGACCAGCTTCTTCGTAGAACCGAGGCTCGTTTTGCATGTGGGTGCGTGGAGCGCCCTCCTAGTTTCCAGAGGATCTGCCACTGGCAGCAGCCCCGGAAGATCACTCCAGAGCTTGAGTTTCAGGGTGAAGTCTAGGGGTCGTGTAAGGGTTAGATTATGCAGAAGGTTGACTATCAACTTTAGTAAAGATTGGGGTTTTCATTTTCGAGGGTAGGGTCGAAACTCATCCATTAGAAAAGGGTTTGGGGTTTGTTTCTAACTTAGTCAGTTTACCATGGGCCGAGGCGCTTGCTAGTTCGTCAGACCTCTGTACTAGTGCTTGAGATGATGTCTGCCAGCAGGCCCCATCGAAATCAAGGTCTTCCACGCTCCTTGCCCTGCTTTCGACGTGAACCGTAATGATACCACCAGGAATACTCCTAACAACAATAAGACCATGGTACTTCGTGATACTGACACCTACACGAACAACAAGAACGAGCGTGACATCCCTGAAGTTGCAGAGCTCAGTTGGCAGCTGAGGTTCGCGCCACTCTAGAGTCGCGCGCTTAGACGGCCCACCGTCATAACCGAGTTCCGGGTCCTGAGGCTACGATGACAAAGAGTGAGGAAGAGGAAGTAACATACCAAATACAGAAATGCCGGCAATCCTGTGGGCCATTCACCCTGATTGCAAGTCGGTGTAGGACCCGGATGTGCTGCAAAGACATGGTCGCTATGTCTAGCTGGGACGTGATAAGTAGGGGAACTCTTGCAGAGTTAGGGGTGGTGGCCAATCGGCAGCGAGACCGCAGCATGCACGTCTTAATTTTTACTAAGAAGGACCGCATGGGCCGCATGGTGGTTCGGGAACCTTATGCAGCACGGTAGTAAATAAGGGTTATAGAAGACCGCCAAGGCCTCTTTGGCTGCAACTACAGTCTCGTGGGAAAGACTCTCATTGGTGCACGACCAACATTGTGCTTGCGAGCCCATGACCTGTGAGCATGGATGTGCTGGGCATGTAGCTTCTGCTTGTCAGGTTACTCTGTTTAAACCCGGTACATTGCAATAGGACTGAAGCGGTAATCCGCGAGGCCTCGCTCGTTCGCAGCCACGATGCTGCAATGTCCAGGCCGAGGATTCATACTGTTCTTTGTTGCCTTTTAAGTGTTTTGGGGCTTAGGGTTTGCTCTTAGTGCTATTTCTTGCCGGGGTTCCTGAGCAGGGCTTGGGGTTTAGGGTCTACTCGTAGTACTACTTGGGGGGTGCCTGACTAGGGTTCAGAGTATACTCATGGCAGAAGCTACTCCTGCATGACATACCCCGAACCCGAAACCCCATTCTGATTTTTACGGCATCTACAGTAGATGGCTTGGAGTTTCCGGTTCTGGGTTTGGGGTTGAGCAGAGAACTTGCAACATGCATTTCGGGCTGTCGGGCTATGAACATAGGATGGTTCAGGATTTAGGGTCCGGTGTGAGGCCGGATTTTTCCAGGCGTTTCGGGAAGTGGATGTAGATTTCAATTTTTGGACGCGTGCTTTGAGGTGAGAAATTCTGGAATTCCTCCTAAACCCTACAAGCCTGAGAGCTGTCTGGTGCTAGTAGGGAATGGGGGAATAGATCCCTATGATAGTCCCTATATAATACCCAATAATAGTCCCGGTAACCCATCCCCCATTGCCTACTAAGAACCAGACAGCTCTCAGGCTTGTAGGGTCTAGAAGGAATTCCAGAGTTTCTCACCTCAAAGCACGCGTCCAAACCTTGAAATCTACATCCACATCCCGAAACCCCTAAACCCTAAACTGAACCCCTGAACCCCTATAAACCAGACAGAGAGGCTGATGCAGGGGCAGCCTGCGGAGGATGGCAACCCGGCTCAAGACTTTGCTGTGTTTCACCGGGCTCTTGGTAAGGGATTTAAGTTTAAGGTACCAAAATGAGGAAACCCTATTGTTTACGTTAGATCCCTACTATGGTAACTTAAATGAAATTCGTTACGGAGAACCCAGTTTATGTTCAGTACTTCATGGTCATGTGCTATACGTACTGCAGTAGCGCCACGGACCAAGCCTACAGTGACAGCTGGCTTACATTTACATATACATCCAGGCCCGCATGCATAAGTACAGTGATAGACTTAGATGTCTTAATTTGTCTATATAGTTATAGATATGCTTGTGTTTATACTGCATGTTCATTATGTCTTTGTTTAGACTTGTTTATATGTATCTGTACTTACATAACTGCTTTGCCGAGGGGACTCCACCACAACAACAGAAGCACCAGAAGCACCAGTCCTGGCCTCAAGAGCTGTGAGATCGGGCAAATGCAACAGAGGGACTTCTGGACGGACACAGGTCTTGAAAGTCCATGCTGTAAGTACAGCAAACTAGGGGAACTAAGACATATTCCCGATGGTGCCGAATTCAGGGTTTTTGCTCCTCGGCAGTATCTTTGAAGGGTCGTCTCGGGAGATGGGCACCTTGTTGGGGAGAATGGATAGTGGAGCCCGAGAGTCTAAGGAGTCCAACAATCCTTGCCGTCCCCAAGAGCTGATAACGTACGATACTATTCTTCAGGGCTTAGGGCTTCAGGATTTAGGGTTTAGGGTTCCGTGTTCTCTTTCTACTTGATTAGAGCCCGGAACATGACATCAAGGCCCTTAGATTCCTGAGATTTCTGCTTGAAGCTAGCTTGCCCAACATCCCGCAGCGAGCACAGCCTTTGGCCCTCAAGCCTAGGATTTGTTTAGCGTTCCTGTCAAAAACCTAAAGTTCTACGAGGTTCTATAAGGGTTCCATCAAGCTTCTGTCATGATTCTGCAGTGTCTCAAGCATGAAGCCCCAAAGCGTTAAGGCTCCAAGACCACCACACTCAAAAGTCGCCCCAGGACCAAAAGTCCCGACCCTAAACTCCGGGCCTGGCAACGCAGGTGCCACGGGAGATCGATCCCCTTGGGCGCTGCATCATCCCGATGTGGAATTCCAGGGTCGCCCGCCCCAAAGAGGGTGGTTTACTTGGAGGATCATGATGGGACTTAGTAAGTAAGAGTTTAAGTATAAGTACCTGAATTAGGATAACAAAGACGATTATGAGTACAGTTTACTGGTCCCATGAGGGCGAAGGCTTCAGGGTTTAGCTTAGTTCTTCGGGTTTGGGGTTCAAGGTTTTCGGTTTAAGGCTTAAGGTTCAGGATCTAGGATTTAGTTTAGGGCTCGGGTTTAGGGTTTAGGGTTGCGAGACAATCCAATGCGGCAATTAGTTCTTGTGGATTTTAAACAGGTTCGGTGTTCTTGCGCTTAAGGGTGCTTTTAAAGGGGCGTACATACTTCAATGTATGGAGGGTGCTTTTTGTATGACCAGAGGATTTGCCGGGGCGGGGAAGGGATTGTAGCATTTGAGGCTTAAGGTTTAGGGTGTTTAGGGTCGAAGGTCCGTAAAACCCACGGAGCCCCATAGCCCTTCAGATAAGGAATATGCCTTCGCTCATTGATGGAAGACCCCTGCGTACAAGGAACACCCAATACCCTTCTTTCTAGAGTG